CTATCGAATTTTTTTCAAGAAGATGAAACCCTCTCGAAAATTGCCTAGAAGGGTAATTTGACCCGTAGAACACGAATATCGCATTCACTCGTCATAAAAATGCTTGGCTACCGCGCCACAGGCGCCGGCGCCAATTAGCCGCTGGGTCACCAAACTTCCTGAAAACTTGCCCTTGCATCTTTATGATAGGTGGATGCGATATTCGTGTTCTATGGGTCAAATGACCTCTCTAGGCAACTTTCTAGTCGGTTTCATCTGCTTGAAAAAAATTCGATGGAAATCGAGCCTATTCTCGACAAAGGGGGCAGTAAAGGGTAAATAGTGCCCAATTATGCACTTGAAGAAGAAATTGTAGCAGTTTTGGGTGATACCAAGACAGTTGAATTCATTATATATTGCTAAGGCAGTGCGGGAGTGGTGTAGTGGCAAGTGGCTCTCTAAAACGCATGAACGGCCACGAGTTTGAATCCCGGCTCGATATCCTTCCAGGCCAACCAAGCCTTTTATCCCTATCGGATGGTCTAGTTGGTTCAGACTTGTTAGTGAAGGTAAAGTACTGGTTTGTGTATCGGCTGGACAGCCCACCTACGCAGTCCTACATGGGTAAATGCTGTGGCGCATCCTAAAACGGGATTGACTATCGCCATAGACTTGCTCCTTATTTTATTTATGCTCGCTAGGGCATGCGATTATGCTATAGATGATTCATCTGGATGGCACGCAGTAGTACACTTAAATTAATAGTTTTCTTAATCTTTTGTGTGTTAAAGTTACGAGTTGAGAAACTTTCTGCTTTCAGGTGATGCAAGCGGCTAGGCTTGCAAATGCGCACGGCTTCATTACTGGTTTCCCTAATGGATATCAAACAGTTGTTGGAGAACGAGGAATACAATTGTCCGGTGGCCAGAAGCAGGTATTGACCAACTTTTTAATTTTAAAACTGTCTACGTATTTTTAGCATCTGCATTGCAGAGGATAGCTATCGCTAGAGCTCTCCTGAAAGATCCTCCAATTCTGGTTCTCGATGAAGCGACTAGTGCTCTGGATGTGGAGAGTGAACGTTTGGTAAGCATTTCCGCGTTCCTATAAGTGCAGACGTTTTGAGAATCGGTTCTGGCTGTGTAATTATTACCAGCGCCATACTTGGCATGATGTAC